TTATCAATTTAAAAAATTATTCCAGGTTTGGTGAAAGGACACAACCCTGACCTACATCTTTCCTGATGTTATACCATGAAGTGCCCCTCATTCAGGCAACCGTCACTTGGTTTATGTCCTCTTGGGTCTATGAGCACAATTAAATTTACTGACATTCCCATTCTTCACGATGTTTTCTATAATTCATCATGATCCAGCAGTCAAATATCTTTACATAGTCATTAAGACACAGGTAAAAGTCTTGCTGGTATTCTCTGCTTTCAGCAACTAGCCCTATGATATCAGCAACAACATACCTTGTTATCACCTTCTCAATCCAACTTGCTTTCTGTCGAGGTATTGCTGCAACTATTTTAAAGTTACTTTCAGGGCAATTTTACTCGCATGTGATATTTATGACATTGTTTAATAATTGTTACCCTTTTCTTTGAAATGGGCCCAAATATAGCCCTCCTCCAGTCTGTTGGCCAAGTAGTTGTCTTCCAACATTCACTATATAGACAACTGAGCCTTTCCAACTTTGTATTCATTTGTTGGTATTCTATAAACTCTTAGAGCTTCATTTTTGCCAATGCCTTCAGTGCATCTTGAAATTCTTTCAAAAACATCAGTTCTTGATTATATGCTACCTGAAAGAATTACATTATTTTTAGTACCATGACTCTGTGTATTCCATTTCACCTTATTTTGATATTCTTGTGTGCTCAATATTTTGCTCATTTATTCCTTTAATATTGCTACTCAAGGCTTGAATTTTCCCCACAGTTTTCTGAGGTTTAGGAATGTGCACTGTGTTCTTTCCCTTTGATTCTCTAACTCCAGCTCTTTGCACATTTCACCATAAAACTTTGCTTTGACTACTCAAGTTTCTTTTGAAATCTTCTGCATCTCTTTACTTAAACATTTCTTTCATTTGCTCAGTGCCTCTATATTTAAGAGCATGTTTCAGGGCCTCTTCTGACATCTGTTTTTGTGTTTTTGCTCTTTTAAATGATATCTTGCTTTCTTCATGTGTTTTGTCCTCTGTTGTTATCCCATAGCTCATCTGGTCTTTGGTCATTCATGTGGAATAAGTAAAACCTATTTTGAAAAGGTCTCAAAATTCAGGTAAGATCTACTTGATGTCATATTTTGGCTCTGGTGTATTTGTTTTCAGTTTCTTCACCTTCTGTTTAAACTTGTGTATGAACAACAGATGATCTGTTTCACAATCAGCACCCCTTGTCATATTTTGAATTATAATATCAAGCTTCTCCATTATCTCTTTTCACATATTTAGTCAATTTGATCCTTGTGTATCTGGTCATGACTACATAAATGAACACAATTTATGTAAACAAGTATTTTCAATGAATAGATATTGGTCTTGAAAAATTCTATAATGCAGGTTCCAGCATCCGTTAGTAATCAGAAAACTCCATAAATAATTAGAATGCAGAATGTATGAAATATGATCTAAGAAAACTGGAAGTTATTAAATATTAATTGGAACATTTGAAGACAGATGTCCTAGGTGTTAATGCCATTTTGAAATGGGCAATTATGTACACATTAAACTGCTAATCGTGAGGTTCAAATCCACCAACTGCTCTGTAGGAGAATGACAAATTAAAGAGGAATAGTGTTGTACGCATTGACAAAAAGAACGTTTCAATCTCTATCTAGAGGTACAACGTTTTAAGGGATAGGATAACATACCAATAAGAAAGATCAGTAAACCTGTTATTAAAATTTACACACCAATTACTAGTTCCAAAGGTGAAGAAAGTAAAGATTTTTCAGCATACAATCACGAGGCACTCATAATGACCATTGATTGGAATGAGAAAGTTGGAAACGGGGAAGAAGGATCAGTAATTATGGAATATGGCCTTGGTGATAGGGCCAACATCAGAGAAAGTATGATAAAACTTCACAAGACC